AGAGAGGGTAATCGATCATAGCTGGACAGGAGGTTAGAAATGTAAGTCAATACATCGTCTTGTAGAGACGAGACGATATTGTGTAACCGAACATTTGTTACTTGTAACCGTGAATTTCTTTTATGTTATCTTACAAGGGTAATAAATTGGTTCTTCAGATTTGGCTGATTACATTCATTTATTGTTTGAGCTATATTTATCTTATTTTTGACCTTAATTAGATGGATTAAAATTTGAGTCAGACGTAGGATGAGGAAATCATACCTCATTTAAGTGTTGTTGGATAGTCCGTTCACTGTATTTCTCCGATATTTGCTTCTTCCTGATACGTTTCAATCTTTTACTAGCTTTGATTCACAATTAATGAGTACGCACAATAAGCCATAAGCGGTAAGTTGTGGTCGTAAATACAATTCTATCGCAACAGAGTATGATTAACTATGAAAGTATGCGACAGCTGTGGATTACTTCTGAGTACAAGATAGAAGGTGAGGTCAACGATATATCGTCATTTAACTTTCTTTAATCAATAAAATGGCAATAAAAATAGCGAAAACAAATTCCATGCAAAGGAATATGGATATGTCTCTCATAACACACTTATAATCGTATTTGTGATGATCGAAATTCTAGAATTTCGTCTAAACGCAAAGCTAACAAATAAAAATCCATTCACTTAGAGTGGACTACGGTCTTATAGATAGTGTGCAAAGCCTTTTTGAGTCATTAGAATGTCGAAAAACAACTTTCAAGACGATTAAGTAGTTCATTGTTTGACAAATAAGTGAGTATTATTCCCATATAGCTGCATTCCAAGTGACGATCGGTTACAGACAACGCTGCTCACCCTCGCTCTTTCCCCCTCTTCTGGTAGTCGGCTGAATCACGAAGACCTCCACATCTAAGGGAAAGCACGGAATACAACGGACAGCTTAGATGCAACTAGATGATTTAGACTTCACAGATGACCTACCCCTTCTATCCCACACACATCAACAAATGCACGTCAAGACAAACAGTGTAGTGGCAGTCATTGCATCAGTAGACCTCTACATACACAAAGGAAAAAGCAGCATCCTCAAATATAACACGGAGAACACCAACCAAACCACATTTGATGGAGAAACTCTGGAAGAGGTGGAAACTTTCACGTATCTGAGTAGCCTCATAGATGAACAAGGAGGATCTGATGCAGACGTAAAGTCGAGGATTCGCGAAGTAAGGACCGCATTCCTACAGTTGAAGAACATATGAAACTGAGAGCAACTGTCAACTAATATCAAAGTCAGAAACTTCATTAAGAACATCAAGACAGCTTTACTGTACCGAGCTGAAACTTGGAGAACTACCACAACCATCATCAATAAGTACAAGTATTTATAAACAATTATCTACGAAAGATACTCAATGTTTGTCGGACGAATGCCATCAGCAACGACCTACTGTGGGAAGAAGCAAACCAGCTTCCAGATGAAGAGGAAATTAGGAAAAGACGTTGGAGGTGGATAGACATATATTGTGAAAATCACCAAACTGCATCACGAGGCAAGCGCTAACTTGGAATTCTGAAGGGTAATAGAGAAGAGGAAGACCGAGGAACATATTGCATCGGGAATCAGAATCAGACATGAAAAGTTTGGAACATTGGTTCGAAAAAAAGGTCCAAAAATGATGCACTCTAGTTAAGATATTTTAACCGATGGTTTGTCATATTTTTTATACTTCTTAACATGTATGTTTTTTTTCACTTACATTAGCCGTATATATTATATATGAACCACTTTCAAAGAGTTTTGGGTATAAGATATATTTAATAGCTTTATACTACAACGTACTACCATGAAAGTTCTGTTTGCAGACAAAGCATATTAGATTTAAAATCACTTAACATCTCTTAATTCCAATCACATTTGCCACAGGTTTATAAATGTCATTAAACTGACCACAGTAATTTCGCATGAAACGTCAATATTGTAACTCGTCATTATTCTTAACTGTTGTTTCGCAAGTTGTATCAACTTTAGAAAAATTTTTAGCTGTCATATATCACATCAACATACACGTCAACTTAGCTTATACATGCATAGTATTATATCATCTATGTCGTTTACATTTAACAGTAATTTAAATCGCCTTTAACATTAATCACTAAAACCATCATAGTTGCTATTGCTACACGTATTTGGGTTTATGAATTGGTCAATCATACTAGTTGTCTATAACGACGAACACAGTTTAGATATTAAAGTCATCAAATTTTGGGTACTATCATACTACACTGGTATAATAATTGACTTATAAAGTAATTGCAAGTCACGAAATCGCTTGTGTCTAATATTAAAATTAACACAATGTAGACGAATATTTTTGAGTTGAAATTTATAATGTATTGAGACAACTCGGATTCGTTAAGACTACGAATTTCTGATAATTTCATATCACCTAAAGCAATAATACCTATTTTACACTATCTAGTCCTCAATCAACACTATAACTGGTTAAACATAATGGTTTCAGGATATCGTCATAAAGAATTGTCATGACTTGACGATTACGAAATATGATTGATAAAATTGATGGAACTATTAAGAAAATCGGTCAACAAATTGATTTGAAATTATCACTAAATAGTGTTGCTTCCTTGTTATCTTCATCCATTACAGATTATTTCGGTTTACTTGTCTATCAGTTGCTCATTCGGAAAATATCTTAAAACCCTGTCAGTCTAACTACAGGTTTGGCGACACAATCGTGTATGCAGCTCATCAGTATAAGCAGTGAAGTATATCTCCTGAAAACTGAAAACACTTTCGAAATTACCCCAACCCTGACTAAGGTAAAAGCCATTAACATAGACATGAGTTGAGAGTGTAATCCCCTTGGTTACAACTTATGTTTTCTCCGATAACCACATGAGCATCACTCACTGTTTATCATCTTGTAAAGATTTATTTAGCCAGGAGCGTCGTGCAACACTACAACACCTATGTTTAGGGCAAACAGGCTTGGTCGATTTCAGCAGTTCCTAATCACTATATTTGTAACCAACTTATGCGAAAGTCGATACTTGCAACTAACTTGCATGGACCATCAGCGGGTAGATATGCATATAATAACATTGAATCTAGAGCATGTCTCCTACGAATACACTCATGTTTAACGAATCGCCTTTAGCTATCTGTCCAAAATGCACACAATTATCGCTAGTTTTACGTAAAAGAATTTTCGATAACCATTCATATGTATTAGTAGTACTACTAAGTTCTGTTACGTTAGGTAATGATGAGGTCAAGAGAAACTTCCAGTAACTAAATAAACCATATCAGTAACTGGAACACTAGCTGAAATTCTTCTTTTCCACGGTCAAACTTTTGTTCTTTCAATTAACCCACTAATACAGATTATATTGTAGACCAACTCATACAGACAGTATATCGGCATAAACGTCAACCGACTTTATAAATTAAACCGAAACTAACAAAAATATCAAAATTTCTACAATACCGGTTGTTGTCCTATTTCTTGGCATTAAACCAGACATTTTGAAATTATTACATGTATTTCCCGGTTAGTTGCTGCCGCGTTTTTTATTTAAATTTCAGCTTATCAATACCGTAGGATTATTACTATTCTTGGTAACCACCGGCGCGCGGCGATTCCTCTCAATTTCGTATCGAAACAACATCACGTTGATTCGAGTGGGAGAGTAGTGTAGTGACATTAGGCCACAACCACACAACTCTCAAAGCTGAATACGAGAAAACTTGTAAAATAAATATTCAACATTTAATGAGGAGAAAAATCCAACGATGGAGAAGGAGAGATGTAATTGAATTGAACCCAATTGTGTGGCATGGCTCAGCCATGCAGGCGTGGTCATTCTCCATGAATTTTATTTACTCATACTAAATATATTGTTCTATCTCTGGCATGAATGTCTTCCCACAATAGTTTGACTTCCATGTATGACCTTATAGATAAGGCAGTTACAACATGACAAGTCTACAATTTTAGGATTAGGATTATTATTAGAGTAGTATTAGTAACGAAATAGACAATGATTGTACAGGGTCTCAGAAACCTCCAGTAGTTCACGTTTGTCTTACATGCTATAAATACCCTCAATTTTAAAAACATAAACTGTGGTGTAGAGCGCTCTTTCTATGTTTCGCTCCTTTTCTCTCGTGTTCAAGTTGTAGTGCAGATTTAGCCTGGGGTTATCAGAAGTGCTTAGGAAACCTATTCAAGCGTTCAGTTAGAGGATTTATCAGATCCACGAAGTATGATCAGTGAATGTCAACTTACAAGGGTATATGCATCTCGGCGTTGATCTTGCAATCACGTAAACTATTTTAAACACATCTAAGCTTCCCCGAAAATGAATATTCAGGCTCAGTATCAACACAAAACCTAGAGACTGCATTCGAAAATTATAGATGCGGCACGGCGTATACCTTATACTCTCTATGAGTGGACAGATTCTGGAATTTATTGCCGGCTGAAGTGGTTCTTCAGTACGGACCTTAACATATTCTTCAGGACTCAGGGAAATATTAAATATAATTTGCCAAACTATTTTTACTTGTAAATTTATCTTGATTTATTCTTCGGAGTCTCGGTGATTCACCACTAGCAGTTAGGAGAGCTTATTAAATGAAAGTTGCTATTGTTTCATCCATCACCACTTGAACATGAGCAGTGCCGGGATATGGATATGTCTGACCAAGCTCCCTTTTCTATAAGTATCTGCTAAGAGTAGAAAATCAGCATCAATGTTGAGCGTTTACAGAGGCGTCTACTTTAAAGAGCTATATACATTCATGGCTCCAGAAACGACTCCCAATATACATGACATCGTTTAATTTTTTTTCATATTATCTACAATTGAATGAACTATGGAAAAGAAAAATGTACGTTTGATCCAAGGATTCAAATCCAAAGAACTATGTTTCGTGTCTAGAGATTTCTGAGTATTTGTTTTATCACCGCGTTAGCGAAAAAAAATTCAGCGGGTCGTCTGACTTCTTGGTAATAATGTCGGGCAATGTTGGGATGGAACAGCTTATCCCGTTGGTTAACCGGCTGCAAGATGCATTTTCCTCATTAGGAGTCCCACTTAATTTGGATCTGCCTCAAATCGCTGTAGTCGGAAGCCAAAGCGCGGGAAAAAGCAGTGTTTTGGAAAATTTCGTCGGTCGGTAGGGCTGTTGTGTTACCTCTTTTATTGTCTCAATTAGAGACTTTCTCCCTCGTGGAAGTGGTATCGTCACGCGCCGACCTTTGGTCTTGCAACTAATCAATTCACGCAACGGTAATTTGAGGTTACCGTTCGATCTTATCATTATTAGAATATGCTGAATTCCTGCACTGTAAAAACAAGCAGTTTACAGACTTTGATGAGGTTCGCAAGGAAATAGAAGCGGAGACGGATAGGCTAACTGGAAGTAACAAAGGAATTTCCAATACTCCGATTAACCTTCGTGTTTACTCTCCCAATGGTAAGTCAGGAATCTAAATTTTATGAAGTCCCGTATTGTTTTGTAATAATCATGTTGATACCAGTTTTGCTTAAGCTCTTTTGGTTACAACGTACTCGATTAATTTCAGATTAGCTCCCTGACGCTGCTTATTTCAACAACACTCATAAATCAAAACAATACGTTACTTTATAGTGTTTATGAATTTAAGGAAGAACAAATGTGGTTTTGAGGAATTGTTTGAAGTGGTGGTAAGGTGACTAGATTAGGTACTTGTTAACCCGCAACTTAAAATGATCATCCGACAGACATCTAATAGGTTTAAAAACAATACTAATTTTAAAATAAACATTATTTAGGGTGTTTGAACAGTAGTTGTTGATTTTATTGTCCGAATAAGTTCCGTAGTCTCCTCACTACCAGTCCCATACATGGTGAATTTATCATTCAAATGATTTCATACTTGGATACCGAAGACACCAATATGTGTAATGTCTTATTTGTTCGTGTTGAGGTTTGAAAGCGTATCAGTTAAGAAAACGGTTGATTTAAAAGTTCATGTTGTACATAACTATGCTTCACACTGAATGTGAGCAAGTTACACTCAACTCATTATGAGGACCTTATCTTGCTAATTAAGTCGATAGCCCTACACTCGATAGGAGAAAGTATCGACCTTGTTCATATTTAGATTTTAATGTCACTATTAATGTTCATACTTCCCAATCAATTCATTGGCGAGACTATAATTTATGAACGAACCAATCAGACACAAGATAACAGGTCTCGAATTTCGGTGCGAAACTCACCTATCCATTTGGCTAAATATAGTTTTGGCATTATAGCTGATGTCAGTTCGTGATGAAAACCCTAAATACAATTCTTAACCTTAACTGTCGACTGTAATTCGTAATTCCAATGCCTCACACTGGTTTATAACTCACTTGGTCCTAGTTATTGGGTGAACACTCTCAGGGTCGCTTTAGCGTCACTCAAAGGTCTTCCATAAATTATAGTCCCACCAATTCACTCAATACTAACTCACGACCGTATTTCCACGTTAGTTTGTGCAACTGTTAGCGAACCCCGATATAATGGGTTGACTAACCGACCGAGTTAACCCTAATCAAAATTCAGTATAATGTTTCTTGAGTTTTTCATTGTCTATGCATTGCCAGTTGTGTTCTCCATCTCATGTTCATTAAATTTATCGGAAATTAAAGTACCTTGTATAATTAAGGAAGCATAATGTTAAATAGGCAACGTAGGATCAGATGTCTCATTGCAAGACCATGTACGTACATTAAATTGGTGTTTCCGATTGCTCTAAGTAAGACTTAATCTAAAGGGATTTTGTGCTGTTTAATATTTATTATTATCATTATTCAAACACATAAACATTAGTACAAGAAGGTACCAAATAGATATGCGCTACATAAATCATTCGATTTATGTGAGGGCTAGGATACTGCCCGGGTGCTCAGACCGCAGCAGGTGGTTTTCTTAGGGGACAACACCCGGAGCCTTTAACCTAAAAGTCTAATCCACAAGGCAGTGGAGCAACGTCACGAGATGCAGTCTCATGGTAGCCAGTGACCAATAATATGTCCATACGCCATTTGTTCCATCAGGATACCGGAGCCCATGTACACGATTGGTTTGTAATCAGGGTTTTCCAACTCCCCTATGTAGATTCTCCGTGTCGATCAACCTAATTAAAGTGCCGGACTTTCTCTTTTCGTCCTCTCAATTTCGTAAACAACACCCGCCACGAGAAGGCAGTGAGTAGGACTTCCCTGGCAGAGGCTACATACGCGTGGCCATGTGAGAGCATTTCGGGAGGTAAAGCGGACTCTCCCCACTCTCGGTTGTACCAGGGCGTTCGGGGGCTTATTTTATGCTGTTTGAACATGGTGCTTTTCTTAGTATTTCTTGCAGTTTAGCTTGTCGTGTATGGTCTCACACAGCTCAGCAAAATAACCATCTGAATAGTTGCTGTTAGTCTTCGGCTTTATCTGAGTTGCACTTATTGTGTGGTCTTGTACTAATTAAACGCTCAGATAAAAGTTGGATTATTTTTTCCATATTAACATAGGTTGGTTAGCATATTCGGTTGTAGTGAATTTTCAGTTTATCAGCCTATTATTCAGTTTATTTTACTAGCTATTCATTAGTTATTTTAATTCATCAATGAGCAGCAGTATGACAACTTTCATTACTATCAATATTCATATCAGTTGTTGTGAGTTCAACAACGTGAGGTTTCCTGAAGTCCTAATTCCAACTGTTTATAGACGCCTTTTTATTTTTTTCCATGTGTAACATTAGTTCTTTCTGATCAAAAACGTATTTGATTATGGATTCATTTTGCTTTGCAACAACGTAACTTGTCCCACAGTCCTTTCCATGCTCATCGCACCAACTAAGTTCTTCGTGTGCCTGTGTCGTTTAAAGAAAAAAACAATCAAACTTCATCGAGTTTTCGAAATTTTCCTCCAATTTTCTGGTTTAACGGCCAAGTAATATTAGGGATAAACAGACATTTTATATTACGATCTGTTTGTACAGATAGCTGTTAACTGTTTCCTGAAAAGCGAAGACCTCTGACACGATCGTCAGTCGGGGAATTCAACATTTATTTAAAGTCATTTGTGTTGTTTGTGGAATATTGGTATATTAATATGTTTCAGTTCTGTCGTCACTTTTACATAGATAATCATTTGCTGCTGACCTGTGACAGCTTTTATGAAATCGGCTATTCCATGACCCAAGACAGGAAGGATCTTTTAACAGAGACGAGCTGTTGAGTCGCAAAGATAAAGAATGGCAACAAGACAAAATCAATTAATTCGTAACAAGTTGATTGTGGAAGTATCATTTTTATGGATAATAAGGCTAAGGAAACGAGCCATTTTCTCCATAATTATTAACCATTATATTTGTGAGTGAACTAGAATACTGCCCAGGAGCTCAAACAGAAATAGTTTTCTTGGAGGGCCTTACTTGGTCTTTCTTGACTTAGAAGCACCGCTTGACTCCGTAGACCGCAAAATTCTGTGGCAGTGTCTGTCATTGAAAGGCGTACCTGAGAAGTACATAAGCCTTGTGAAGACTACTCGAACACTACCAGTCGAGTCAGAGCTTATGGCGAACTGTCATCTGCTTTTGCAACCTCAAGTGGTGTCCGTCAAGGCTGTCCACTTTCTCCATTTTTGTTTAACTTCATCATAGATCTACTGATGGAAATAACGCTCCTATCGACTGAATTCTCGGGTATTGATCTCCTACCAGGAGGTCCACTTATCGACTTAGAATACGCAGATGACATAGTCCTGTTTGGTGAAGACGCTGATAAAATGCAGAGTCTTTTGGTAGCACTGAGCAACAATGCTAGGATGTTTGGGATGCGCTTCTCTCCCTCCAAACGCAAGTTGTTGCTCCAGGACTGGTCTGTGTCAACACCTGAACTAAGGATAGGGAGTGAAGTAGTCGAACGCGTTGAAAATTTCACTTCTTTTGAAATTCTGATCAGACCTAATGGGTTGATGCATGACGAAATCTCAGCACGGATTCAAAAAGATCGTTTGGCCTTTGCCAACTTACGTCACCTATGGCGAAGGCGAGATATCCATCTATCGATTAGGGGGCGAGTATACTGCGCAGCAGTTCGTTCTGTTTTACTTTACGGCTGTGAAACGTTACCACTAAGAGTAGAAGATATTCGTAAACTACTAGTATTTGACCACAGATGTCTTAGAAATATTCCTGGTATCTATTGGGATCACTGGGTAAGTAATAGTGAGGTTAGACAGGGAGGGTATTAGGGAATGATGGTAAATCAGTTGATGAGGTTATGAATCTTCATCGACTGAGATGGTTGGGCCACGTGTCGCGTATGCCTGAACACCGATTACCACGACGTGCAATGCTAACAGGTATTAGGGATAACTGGAAGAAAGTTAGGGGCGGCCAAATCAAAACGTGGCATCAGTGCTTGAGGTCACTAACATCTGGTCTGAGCCATGTTGGTAGATGTAGACTACTTGGTTGAGGTCCGCGTGACTATCGTAACCAATGGTTGGAGACTCTGTGACATGACTCGGAATCGATCACAATGGCGTCGGTGTATACACTCTCTGTCTTCCCTTAAACTAAGAGATTAAAATCGCTTCATATTTTTCTTTCTACGAACTAATTCTTTCTTCCTGTACTATCTCCTTATATGCAACCTTTCTTTTATAAATTACCACCACTGAATTAACTACTTCTATGAATCCGGTGTTCATCTTGTTGTGCCAATGCGGTATGGCAACTTGGACCGATGCATATATGTGCCTGGTCCTACGTTGTAGCTGACTGACTGACTTGGAGGGCCAATACACGAGAGTTTGACTTATAGATCCACAAGATGAGAGCGAAATCCCTAAGTCAGTCTCATAGTAGTCGGTGATCAAATTAGTTTCATATCCTATTGGCTCCATCGTGATCTTGGAGACCATATACACCGTTTGTTTGAAATCAGGGTTTCCCAACTCCCCTAAGAGCACATGCTTTGACTCAGATCATGCTCTAGTGCGAGCGCGTATTTGTCTACGTCTTACTGGACGTATTAAAGATGGTGCAAGGAAACCCCTTAGGGTCCTACTTAATGATAGTCAAGCTAAGAATATATTTCAGTAACAACTAGAAAAACAGTTAGGCAGCCTTGTAAGTGATGCCCACCCCGAGGCAGCGTGGAATGACATCCGAAAAGCTGTAGAAACAGCAGTGATGTCTGCAAGTACGGTGAACCATAAGGTTAGGGAGAAACACTGGATCTCAGCAGCGTCTATCGCACTGATAGATGCTCGAAAACTCATTCCACCTGGTTCTGAACATAACGAAGAGCGGAGTCAGCTTAAGCGTAAGCTGACTAGAAGCCTACGCAATGATCGTAAACAGTGGTGGGTAGTGAAAGCAAGAGAGATGAGAAAGGCAGCAGCAATAGGTAACAGTAGGCAACTGTTCAGACTTGTTAAGGAAACCCCCAAATGCCCTGGTACGGCCGAGAGTGGGGAGAGTCCACTCTCCCTCTCGAAATGCTCTCACATGGCCATGCGTATATAGCCTCTGCCAGGGAAGTCCTACTCACTGCCTTCTCGTGGTGGGTGTGTTGTTTACAAAAATGAGAGGACGAAAAGCGAATGTCCGGCGCTTTGACCGGACCCCAAACCAATGATGCACATGGGCTCCAGTATCCTGCGAGAACAAATGGCGTATGAACCAATCGTTGGTCACCGGCTACCATGGGACTGCATCTCCTCATGATGCTTCACTGCCTTGTGGGTCAGACGTTCAGGTCGAAGGCTCGGGGTGTGGCATCCTAAGAAAACCACCTGCTTCGGTTTGGGCACCCGAGCAGTATCACAGCCCTCACACAAATCAATTGAGATTCGTGTGGCGCATATGTACTTGGTGCTTCCCTGTACCTATACTTATGTGTTAAAATAAAATAAAATAAATTAGGAACACAACTGTTAGCGAAACTAACATGTTGTACATTCTCAATCCATGAGATTGAATCGATGGGCAGAATACTTTAGGGATCAGTTCAACTGGCTTTCAGCTACACTTCGGTTTCCCACGATCTTCAATCTACCTGAATGGCAAATTAATGTAAGTCCTCCGACTCTTTACGAAGTTGAAAAAGCTGTAGGAAATCTGAAGCGTGAGAGAGCAGCTGGTCCTGGCAGCTTTACCCCTGAGATTTTTAAGGATGATGGTCCAGTATTAGCAGTGAGATTAACTGAGGTCTTAGGTAGAATCTGGGAACTGGATGTAATCCCATCTGACTGGTCTCAATCACTGATTGTACCAGTCCATAAGAAAGGACAAAAGTCTTCTTGTAACAATCACAGAGGAATTAGTTTGACTGATATAGTGTCTAAAATATTAGCTTCAATAATACTTCGACGTCTAACCAAAGCTCGTGAAGAGCAGACTAGAGAAAACCAATCTGGTTTTCGACCTGGACGTGGTTGTATTGATCAAATGTTCACGTTACGTCAGGTCCTAGAACATAGACACACATTCAGACGCCTCACAATGGTAGTATTTCTTGACCTTGAGGCGGCATTTGACTCTGTTGATCGTGAGGTTCTATGGCAGTGTTTGTCACTGAAAGGAGTACCAAAGAAGTATATTAACCTTATAAAGGCTCTCTACTCGAACACAACTGGTCGAGTGAGAGCTTATGGTGAACTGTCATCAGAACTGATTACATCAAATGGTGTTCGTCAGGGCTGTCCACTCTCTCCATTCTTGTTTAACTTTGTTGTTGACGTCCTTTTAGAGATGACACTTTCCTCATCTAAATTTCTAGGAGTTGAACTTCTACCGGGAGATCCACTTGTTGACTTAGAATATGCTGATGACATGGTTCTATTTGGTGAAGACGCTGACAAAATGCAGAGTCTTCTCACTATTCTAAGCAACAATGCAAGCATGTTCGGCATGCTATTCTCTCTCTCGAAATGCAAAATGTTGCTTCAGGATTGGATTGCGTCGACATCCGAACTAGTGATAGGGAGTGAAGTAGTTGATCGTGTCGACCGCTTCACTTATCTCGGAAGTCTCATCAGCCCTTGTGGTTTGGTGTGTGACGAAATCTCAGCACGGATACAGAAGGTTCGACTAGCTTTTGCCAACTTGCGTCATTTGTGGAGTAGGCGAGATATCCGTCTATTAACCATAGGACGAGTTTACTGCGCAGCAGTTCGTTCCGTCCTACTTTATGGCAGTGAAACATGGTCGGTAAGAGTAGGGGATATTCGTAGGTTACTAGTATTTGATCATAGGTGTCGTCGAAACATTGCTCGTATATACTGGGACCACCGAGTAAGTAATGCAGTTGTTAGGAAACGGGTACTAGGTAAGGATGGCAAATCAATTGATGAAGTAGAGATGGCTGGGACATGTGTTGCGCATGCCAGACCACCGACTGCCACGACGTGCGATGTTTTATGGTGTAGGAGTAGGTTGGAAGAAAGCTAGGGGCGGCCAGACCAAAACATGGCACTAGTCCATGAATTCACTGACAAGTGGACTGAGCCATGTTGGTAGGTGTAGACTATCTGGTTGGGATCCGTGAGATGATAGCAACCGATGGTTGGAGACTTTGAATGACGTGGCTCAAAATCGTTTGCAATGGTGCAGGTGCATCCACTCTCTGTGTTCTCTCAAACTCTAATCTTCTGAATTCTTCATGTCTTTTATTTTCTTTCCAAATCTATTCCACTGGATTATACTCCTTAAATAACATCATCAAACCCTAATGTTTCCTATCACTACTTATACTTTCACTACCTCTACCACTACGGGATTTAAGTCGATAACTGAATCTCTGTGCTAATGTGGTATGGCAACTTGAACTGATGTACGTACGTACGAAGTTCCACGTTGTTACTGACTGACTGACAACTCCCCTAGGTAGATCCTCCGTGTCTAATAACCCAATCAAAGCTTCGAACGTTTGCGTTTTGTCCTCCTGTTTTCGTGAAAACTCCCTGCTGCGTAAAGGGGGTGAAACTTTCTTAGGAGAGGGTGTAAACCCGTGGCCGTATCACAGCATGTCAAGAAGGGAGAACTCTTCTTACCCTCGGCTGTACCAGCTTGTATTTTTGTCCGTTCTTTATTCTTTAGTTCCTGCTTTTGATCAAATATTATTACTAACTAACATTTAATAAACCTCTTCTTATGATCATTTCCACTGTATAGCTTCGAAAATCCAATTACAGAAGAGAAATCTTTATTTTACCGTTCGTATTCTACACTGTACTTATACAGAATCTAGATTATAGCTTTTTCGCTGTAAAACATGGGCAAAATCCATTATGTACATGCCTTTAATTTTGAGCACATGAATTGATGTTTGGTTATTGAGTTTCAAGTATATTCTCGACGTAGTTTATATTCACCCTGTTGTGTCCCATCTGTTTGCTTCTCAGAATAAACAAATAACAAACGTTTGATTATTCGAAGGGAGTTTTTCCACTTGTGTGATAGATCTGTACTAGTCTTATGTGTGACTAACGATCTACTTATAATTTACTAAAATGCCTACGGGATATTGCACATGCGATGCCCAACTATTGTAACGTAATGTCATTTTTGTTATGATGAAGGCGATTTTCTTGATAAATTACTCTACTTTTCTGGGAAAGTTGATGAACACTAAATTAATATACTTATGTATCATATATGATTGGTGCTTACTTTCACGTAGAATAGTGATAAAAATAATTTAGCTATAAACTGTTGGATCATGTGTTTGATATCTCGTATGATTGCTTTTGTTCGTTTATTTGAATAATATCTTTAAATACTGAATTCCTGAATGCACCAATATGTACCTAGTTTGCGTACAACCTTTCCTTTCATTAAGGATTAAGTTTTATAATTTTTTTTAGTTCATTATGCTGCTTCTATAATCTCTTTTAGTTCTCAACTTAACTCTGATTGACTTACCTGGAATGACTAAAGTTCCTGTCGGTGATCAACCTCTAGATATTGAAGTTCAAATTAGATCAATGATTTTGGAATTTATTACACAGGAAAATTGTTTAATTTTGGCCGTTTCTCCCGCGAATTCCGATTTAGCTAATTCAGATGCATTAAAGTTGTCCAAAGAAGTAGACCCTCAAGGTTTGCGAACAATAGGAGTAGTAACAAAGTTGGATTTAATGGATCAGGGTACGGATGCTCGAGAAATCCTGGAAAACCGTCTTCTGCCACTTAGAAGAGGTTAGTGACAATTTGTTTATCATAAAAAGTACTTGGAATTACTAGTATGTTTTCTATTCATAGGAATTTAGAAATACCTAAGCATAACACAAAGACGGTTCACGATGAAGTTATTTAAGGTCAAATCATCAAACGGTTTGGAAAGTATAGCTTTTACTTAATATGGAGCATATTTGTAGTTTTTTGCACATCCATTTTGTCCGAGCTCTTCTAGTCAATAACTTGTTGCACAGTGATTAAAAGCCATACAAGTGAACAAAGAATTCTTTTGGGTACATTTAACACGATAAAATCCAGGAAAATGTAACTTAAGAATTCTGAGTTCCAACTAACTATTGAAATTCTATTCCAAAATTATTTTTTTCGTTAAATGGCTGAATTATTCTCGAAAAGTATCATAATACAGTTTAAGCCGAAAATATCAACCGTTATTTTCTAGATAATTAATTTTAGCGTCAATGCATTCTCCTTGAAAGCTATAGTATGTGAATATGATTTTAGCAGGGGTCGAAAGTGTGTTTATACCTAAGATTTCTAACTACTGATAAGATAAACACCACCAACTCTTCGATTATCGGGTCAGTTTGTATCCATGTATAATGAGATTCAATTAATATGATCTATTCTGTGAATTTTAGGCTTATGATATCACTAAAACGTTATCGATTTCAACATATAATGGACGATACAGATCACTTCCTGTCGTTTGTATGCTAAACTTGTTATATCAAGATTTTCTATATCAACACTTGCACTGACCATGTTCTTATCTCTCGTTTCTGTGTACTTATTTTCGTCAACAATAAACATTCATACTATCTCAAAGAAACCTACACTCCATCTAACAGTGTGTGATGCCTTGCTCCAACATCTTTTTGGAGTGCCTGGTTCTAAACGAACTCTGTTTAATGTAGGTAACATTTCCACTGCTTTCTTTAATCCATTTCCAAGAAATGTTATGTACCTGGAAATCTAATGAATACTATGTTACAGTACATCATGTTTTGTTACATTGTTGACACAACCACTTCCATTTAAATCCTGTTTGACCCACAACTAATATATAACGCAGTTTGTGTAGATAAAATTATTTTCGTCTTTGATTATCCTTAGTTATACCATTTCGCTCTTTCCTCGCTTACATTTTGACTCTTTTCACTTGCTTTTTTCTCCCGCTACTTTTACTCATTCTTTTGCTTTGTTATTGTATTTTGTTCTCTCCTACTCAATCAATGAATTGAAAAATAATTTCTATTGGCTAACCAGTTGAGTTCTATTTATAATACCGGATTTTTATTCTTACTAGTTATTGATCTTGTTTCTATTCTTATTAATATTATGTCCTAGTAACCTTTCTTTCATTCATCTGTTCACTGTTGGTTATTACAATGCAAAATTGAATAAATGTTCTCCAGTAGGAGGGGTGGAATTATTATTTGAGTTGCGTTACGTGCTTGCTTCTGTCTAAAGTTGCAAAAGGTAGGGAAGATAGTTTACCAAACCATGAAATTTCTTTTGTTCGTTTTTGAAGAAAAGTGGTAAACAAGGTACCACTACTGATTTTTTAAGTATCAATAAAAAGTAGACTAAACTTAACCTTTTATGTACATAACTTATGAACATGTTGTCGGTAGCTGGGGAAATGCACTAGTATACACACTCAGTCGAGGATATATTACTTACTCCTGTCAAACGTCGTGAAGGAGTGTGGTCTGCACATCAGAATTCTCAATCTAACAATGTCTTGGTCAGTCCATTCCAGTTTCTATTCTTCTTTTTCATGTTTGTTTCCGATTCCCGATGCAATATGTTCCTCGGTCTTCCTCTTCTCTATTACCCTTCAGAATTCCAAGTTAGCGCTTGCCTCGTGATGCAGTTTGGTGATTTTCACAATATATGTCTATCCACCTCCAACGTCTTTTCTTAATTTCCTCTTCATCTGGAAGCTGGTTTGCTTCTTCCCACAGTAGGTCGTTGCTGATGGCATTTGTCTGACAAACATTGAGTGTCTTTCGTAGATAATTGTTTATAAATACTTGTACTTATTGATGATGGTTGTGGTAGTTCTCCAAGTTTCAGCTCGGTACAGTAAAGCTGTCTTGATGTTCTTAATGAAGTTTCTGACTTTGATATTAGTTGACAGTTGCTTTCAGTTTCATATGTTCTTCAACTGTAGGAATGCGGTCCTTACTTCGCGAATCCTCGACTTTACGTCTGCATCAGATCCTCCTTGTTCATCGGTGAGGCTACTCAGATACGTGAAAGTTTCCACCTCTTCCAGAGTTTCTCCATCAAATGTGGTTTGGTTGGTGTTCTCCGTGTTATATTTGAGGATACTGCTTTTTCCTTTGTGTATGTAGAGGTCTACTGATGCAATGACTGCCACTACACTGTTTGTCTTGACGTGCATTTGTTGATGTGTGTGGGATGGAAGGGGTAGGTCATCTGTGAAGTCTAAATCATCTAGTTGCATCTAAGCTGTCCGTTGTATTCCGTGCTTTCCCTTAGATGTGGAGGTCTTCGTGATTCAGCCGGCTACCAGAAGAGGGGGAAAGAGCGAGGGTGAGCAGCGTTGTCTGTAACCGATCGTCACTTGGAATGCAGCTGTCCTTCATGCACGACTTTGCAGTGTAGTCCGTCACAAGGACTCCGTATGTGGTGATAATCTCTTAAGGTACTACATAGTGTTGAAGATAGTCCCATAGGGCTCTTTCAGTGACGAGTTCCATTCAGCTGATTGCTTAACAATGGTCCGTAGTGTCGCGATTTGATTTGTGCACAATCGATCCTTACGGAATGCAGCCTGTTGATCTCGAAGTTGGGCGACTGCTGTATTCTTCATCCGGTTCAGCAACACTGTTGAAAACCTTTACTGATACTGATACAAGTGTGATGCCTCTGTAGTTTTCGCACTTGATCAGATTTCCTTTTTTTTAGTACCTTGATGTGGTATCCTTTCCAGTCTGTCAGCACTTGTTCCTCCTCCCAAATCTCCCTGAATAGAATGCAGAGTATCTTTGCAGTTACTTCTATGTCCGAATTCAGTGCTTCAAATGGCATATTGTTGTATCCTGCTGCTTATCCACTCTTGATTTGTCTGATGGCCTTCTTGATTCGTTCTAACGTTGGTGGGTTGACATCCATAGGAAGGTCTGTGTGGTGCCCCGATGTTCGATGGATTCAGTGGATCTGGCCTATTCAAGAAATCTTCAAAGTATTTCGCCCATCTCTTCCTCTGTTCTTGAATCGCAGTAATTGACTTGCCTTCTTTTTGCTTGACTGGTTGCTCTGGTTTACTGTATTTCTCCGCTAGTTTTCTTGTTATACCTCATAGTTGTTCCATAAGTCCTTCACTTGCTAGTTCTTCCACGTATTTCTGTTTGTCGGATCTAATGCTCCTCTTCACTTGCTTGTTTGCTTCTGTGCATTCAGCTTGTGCCTTGTATTTCTCTGTACTTGTTCGGCTGTCGTTAATTACTGTCTTATTGTTCTTCCTTTTTTGAGTGTTGTCGACGGTTTCGGTGAAGATCCGTTCTCTATGATGATTCTTGTTGCGGCCTACAATCTCGTGGTACGTTGAAGTTGGTCCTTTGATCCTTTTCCAGTTGTTCTCCACCATAGTTGCTTCTTTTTTCGTTAGATCTTTTATGGCTTGGGACCTGTTGTTGAAAGTTATCTTGAATTCTCTGACTTTGTCGGTATGTCGAAGGAAGGTTGTATTGAACCTTTGTAATGCTGTTTTTCCAGTTGTCTAGTGCTTCTTTTGCTTCAGTTTCATCTTGGCAACCACCAGGTAGTGATCTGAAGCTGTCAGCTCCTCTTCTGGTTCTCACGTCTCCCATTAACCTTGTAAATATTTTACTGATGCAAATATGATCGATCTTTTTCTCGGTGGTGTGGTCCAGTGAGACCCATGTAGCTATGTGCATGTGTTTGTGCGGGAATATCGCGTCACCCATAACCATTTTATTTAATGCACATAAATTTGCAAATCTGTCACCGTTCTCGTTCCTTTCTCCCAGTCAGTCCGTGTCGTCCCACGATATCGTCATATCCGGTGTTGTCCATTCCAACATTACCTTTTAGGTCACCCATCAGTATGGTCAGGTCTTCTAAGCACTTCACTATGATCGATTGCATCCTCTCATCAATTACCCACCATTTACGGGTAATAGAGGAGATTTGTCGTTTGGAAGTGAATTTTGGAGGTACACAGTTTGATCTCAGCTCAGAGTTTTTCTATCCTACCATTACTTTAAACTGTTATTGGTTGAAGAGAAAATGTATCACTCTGTAACAATTATAATTTCCCGCTAAAGTAGTTAATACGTTGATATTCCGTACATGTATAAAGTTAAGGATTAGTATCGCTTACTCCCCAGTTCAATGTATACTAGTTTGACCATTGAATGGTTAAGTAAATCATGCATAAAATAGTATGTTTTTGGGAGTTTTAACCTGTGGTTGCGTCTGTCGTGGATATACTTGTGATGTATAGCGAATCATCGTCTCCTGTTAACCTTTTTCGTTTATAGCAAGTAGCCACACCAGTATTTTGCCCAAATTCACCATGGAAAGAAACTGTGTTTGGGGCTGAACGCAGATCTAAGACTTATCTAGAAGTTTAACTTCGATGCCACTTATTTAATGGTCCTACAATAATTTGGGATGTTTTTGTCTTTAAATCGCTACATTACATGTACATTCTGATTGATTGTTCTTGTTCCTTTTTAAATCGATTTATTCCATGCAATGATGGTAACAGTAGTCGGTCTAACATTATAGCATAAATACAAGTTGAATAGACAATGCTTGCTAAAATAAGTATTTTAAATATATTCTTAGTTGGGGTCCATGTGATTAATATAACCGATGGTTGGGCACTAAATGATATAGCTCAAGATCGTTTACAATGGCTCAGGTGCATCCATTTTTCATCTTCCCTCAAATTCTGAGCTTTAAAATCTCCCATAGCTTTGTTTTTATCTCACTAATTTATATTTTTCCGAATAATATTTTAGATGCCTGACCTTTTCTTTTACGATGGATACTGTTACTACCTCTACTATTTTGGGATTTGGTCTGACAATTTCATCTCCGCGCTGATGGGGTATGAGAAATTGAACCGATTTACATAAGTACGATGTCCTACTTTCTTACTGACTGACTGAAGGATATCTCATTGTTATTAATTCATCAAACGTGACACTAAACAGTTTTCTTTTTCATTTAATTATTATAATTAATACTCTGTTTCCTTCCTATTTATCAGGCTATATCGGTGTGGTTAATCGTAGTCAGCGGGATATTGAAGGTCGTAAAGATATTAAAGCAGCTTTAGCAGCTGAAAGAAAATTCTTTCTAAGTCATCCATCTTATCGTCATATGGCTGATCGAATGGGAACACCATTTTTACAATCTACATTAAATCAACAACTAACTAATCATATTCGAGATACTTTACCTGGTCTAAGAAATAAACTCCAATCACAAATGTTAGCTATGGAAAAAGAAGTTGAAGAATATAAACATTACAAACCTAGTGATCCATCTTTTAAAACTAAAGCTTTGCTCCTGTAAGTTTTAATTGATATACATTGGCCGTTTGGATTTTCTCATTGATATTTATGACTGCAATTGATCAGTCTCTTTTGACACATGTCCATCCTGTACGAACTGCCTCGATATTTCCATTTAGTTACAGGCATTTTCTAAGCAGAGATGGATGGTGCCTACCAGTGGAATCCATCTAGGTGAGTCATATGATGGCGTTTGGAACGAACGGTACTGGGTTTGAGTCTCAGAGTAAATATCAAATCTGGAATGCAGGTACGTCCAGCCAGCAAACCCCAAATAGAACGAAGTGCACGTCCTGAATTATACTGTTAGCCACCATCCATCTCAGCTTAAAAAGTACTGTAAGTTCTGTTATTTTTATTAAAAATGGACTTAACCCTCATGTTTACTTGATATATAACATCGTCAATCTCAATTTTAAATCACTCCGGTTGTACATTTTGATGTAGGAAAGTATTATGTTATGAAATGTTTGTTTACTATTCTGCATGTTTGGTATGATAGGCTTTTATCTGACTAAAATCCTTGATCTCAGTGGTAAAATCTTTTCATCAATATTAATAATATCAGAAAATATGTATGAATTAGTGAACTAGGTGCTGAGTCATTTTTATTATGTTGCGATTAGAAATAATACGTTGTTGAATAAATATAAACGATCATTATGGCGCGTATTCTTGATCTGTTAATTTAAAACAGTGTGTATTTCGACCGATGAGCGATAGCGGGAGTTCTTCATCTATATAAAACAAGCTAGCGATAGAGCTGCGTATTTTTATTGTCCGGAACGGAATAACACATTTTATTACCAATTAGTGTATCAGAGGTATTGGATCGGTTAATACCTAGTAGAATTAACGTTGTACGATATGATTATGATTATCGGTCTATAAATCGGACTCATGCAAAGCCAGAAATTTTTAGTTCCGGGAGACTTCCCGTTTTCCATCGGTTTCGTTTCTGGCCTTATTTTTTTACGTTTTAATTCCTATATATACTTTAACAGGTTTCCTGTGATTTTAAAGCATGTTATACATTTAGATAGTACAATGCGAAGATGAGGCTTATCATTGCATTGTTTAAATTTATCAAAGGAATTAATTTTCAAGCATGCAATACACAGTTTTCTTAGGTCCTGCCTTATTCAAAATAAATCAAATTAAGGTGTATCACAATAGTTGGAGAGTTTTATTCAATTTATTATCAATTACAAATTATCACTAAATCCGGAAATCATTTGAAATATAACCATGGAGTAATATTTCTTTTCTCTTCTAATTTCAGAACAGTACAAAGTTTTGAAAAAGATTTTCATCATGCAATTGATGGAGGAGGTTCTGAAATAGATACAAAAACACTATCTGGTGGCGCATTAATTAATCGTATATTCCATGAGCGTCTACCATATGAAATGAACAAGGTAAAATGTTCGATAATTTACTTTTTAAAGTATGTTCAGCACTTTATTAGCATCATTTTTATGACCGAGTTGACAAATCGTATAAAATTTACCCCTCAAATTTAATCAAATAGCAAGTCATTTTGATGTTTTCAGACGACTAGTTTGTATACCCTGTTGTGTAGTTATAATTAGATTTTTGTTCAGTCAGAAGTAGATTTCGCTATGTTCGATGAATTAAGATATCATCCGAAAGAACAAACAACATGCACAAAATTTATACGTATATATACAATACAAAAATGTCCCTTAAAACTTCACAAAATAGCGTACTAAAAGAGGAAACGAACTACGAACTTTCAAGGCCCTTCCAGGTGGGAAACACAAGCTAAACGTAGAAGTAGGAGCTTTTGCTGTGAAAATGGGACGTTCAAATATCTGTAATAAAATGACAAAAATGAAAAGTTTACCAAGTAATTTCTGGGGACCTAGCATCCCAGGCTTATTGTTAAGGGTTGGTGTCAGTACTCTAATCAGACTGAAAAATGGAAACTCGAATTTCCCTTTGTTTCATCGTACAGCCGTGCGTTTATAGCATTTCCCAAGGAAAACCCTATTCAGTCTATTCACCTTTTGATCGTATTTACACAACAGTGAAAGTAGACTCGTAGCGTTCTGTGTATACTAAGGGTCATCTATGTGTCGAAAAGTCATGACTACTGTTCAGTAGACTAGTTTAACCATAGGATCCTGCAGAAATATATATGGGCATTGTCATCAGCTACCTCGAAAACCCATCCTTCGACATTCCTTACACGTCTTGTGATTTGTATTCTCAAATATGAAGCTTCAGATATATTTACTAACTTGTCACTAATCTTTATCCTTTAGTGATTTCGGTGTCGAGTTCAAAGATGGAATATTTCCACTTGAATGTTAGGTTTTTCTCCAGGTTCTGTGGTCAGATTGAAATACAATTATTGTCATTATACACATTTACTGTACAGAAATTTAACGAAATTCATAAATGAATTTATTTCGATAATTTTGTCCAGTTACCTTACCGTCGAACATTTTTTATCGAATAATAGACCTGTAATTAAAATAACTGCTTCGTTTACTTGAGCTGTAATTTTGTGACACTTTTTACTATAAAACTTCCGATTATGGTTAACGTGTATATCAATCGTTGATTTACTTAAACATACGAAGCTTGTAAAAAGTATCTAGCATTCTTAGAATTATTTTTGTCTAAGACGTACGTACACAATTTGTTACTTGAATCCACATTTATCACTAACAGACAGAAATCGCCACAATAAGGGCCTGGCAAACGTGTGTGTAGACCCAATTTGCTGTATCTTATTATGACGAGACGAAAACAGCAAGATGAATAGCAAGTGAGAGAAAAATGTAGTGGCAATGATAATATGATAGACCAAGCCTTGGGAATATATTTTACAAAGACAGAATGGAAGGGTATGTATGATAGGACAATAAATTTCGAAATCGAGAGGAAGATAAAGGACAAATGCGTCTGTACAATTGTGAGTAGTCCTTAACCATGTCAACCCCAAACCCCAACCACTGATAGCGGTTGTCACCTGGACCTCAACCAGGTAGTTTGCATATACCACCATAGATTAGATTAACAGTCAATGTCTTCAATGACTGATGACACGTTTTGGCTTGTCCATCTCTAGCTTTCATGTTAAACACTGCTTTCCACTAAATTTCTTTATTTTATATTCTATTTAGTTTATTGTTTCCTGATTTGTTTTGATTGTGGTTTTGTTCATTAGATCGAAACTGATGAAGAAGAATTGCGGAAAGAAATAAGTTACGCCATTCGTAATATACATGGTATTAGGTAAGTGATTGATTTCCATATTATCTTACATCTCAAAAGTTTCAAAAATTCGAAAGTTAAAACAACGTTAATTAATTCTGTTCTCTGTGTGAGTCAGGTTTTAATATAAATAAACATAGTAAAATCAATCTAGAATTCGGAGATTTATATGATTCTTACTACTGTAGCTTACTTATTTCGCTGACTATCAAGTTGTGTAAAATGCAGTTTCAGTATAACAATATATGGTTACTACACATGTATTCAGATAATTTAGAAATTGGATTGAATGCAATTTATGAAATACGATCTATTGGAGTCCTAGATGGAAACGTTACTTCTGACTAGAGGGAATTTTGACGGTATATTATTTATGATAACACGACACTTTCTATCCGGCTATTATATTACTTTAAAATGCTTAACTATCGCGAACCTTAATTGGTTAGATCCAGGTTGTCTCTCTACTAAAACCTTCAACTCCATATAATTCTATAGGCAAGGCTAGTGGTGGTTTAATTATTGTTCAGAAATCATGCAAGTATCTAATACTAACTTATATAAATTTTTTTTGTTTCGGTAGAACTGGATTATTCACGCCTGATTTAGCTTTCGAAACTATAACTCGTAAACAAATTGATAAGATGAAAATACCGTCATTGAAATGTGCTGATTTGGTTGTGGCTCAATTGACTGAAATTGTACACGCATGTACTGCACGTGTAAGTATATAACTGCTATCAATAATACTGTTACTATTATTACTATTACTGTTTTGAAGTTTGACTTGTGAAAATTGTTTATGATAAAGTTAGCATTCATCACAATTTTGGGAGTTTAAACTATTGAATTTTGGTCCAGTAGCTCCATTGTATCGTACTTTCTACGAAACCTAAAAGTCCTTAGTTCGGTTCTTGTCAACTGGATTTTGAGTATGTCCTGTTGCCGCTACTCAAAAGACGACAAGACTGTTCACTGTTTTCTTTAGTCTTCAATTTTTCTCCAACCGCGTCCATCATCATTTATTTATTAACAACATTTAGTAAGGTTGACAAACCTTTTATATTCTTAGTTAATTTCTCTCTTCACATTAAACTTGTCACTTAAGTTGTTGGTTCTATGTAGTGAAAGTGTTTTTTCTTACATTAAATCACTTTATGACGTACTTTATTCATGCCTTCCTTCTTTATTCTGAGTTTATTCTGGATAATTTTTTCGATTGTTGTTCATATTTTTTGTACTTCAGCTTAATAATAGTAGTCATATTATCACTATATTTATTTTCATGTATATTATTAAAAGAATGTTTTGTAAAAGGAAAGTTGTTGATTATTTATTTTAATTTGATTACATTGTAGATGGAGAACTTTCCACGTTTAAGGGAAGAAACAGAGCGTATTGTAAATCAATGGATTCGTGAAAGAGAAATTCGTGCCCGAGATCAAATTGTACTGTTAGTTGACATACAATTATCCTATATGAATACCAATCATGAAGATTTTATTGGTTTTGAAAGGTAACTATATTATTATAATACTTGATTCAGTTGATGACGTTTCCCGAGGTTAGAATTTCTTAGTTGCTCAATTATTTCATCTCTATTAAATTAAATGTACTTAAAATATTCCTCTTGTCTTAATGTTGATCACTAAGCATTATTATTTGTCAGCACGATACAATAGGTACAATTAATATCGTGCAAAATGAAGTTGCATATATGGACATTAAAATATTGTTCTAAATTCATAGCTGTTGGTATACCATGAAGTATAGTCAGAAATGATATTTAAACTCGAAGCCAATACCATATACCCCATTTAAAAACAAAGTTGAACCAAATAACTATTCTAGGTATTATTAAATCTCACTTGACAAAAATGTACCATAATTCAAATACATTTATTGTATTTATTAGTGCTCTTGTCGTCATAATACCATATTAAGCATTAGTTATGCACGTATGTATGTTCAATAAAATAGTTATTAATACTACTGGGTGAGTGGTACCAACAATTAAGAAGATCAAACAACACACCTTAATTTAGAAGTATTTTTACTTTCGAACGCAGACAAACTTGGAGTTGAATTAATCTATGTAACATTATTGTATCATGAGCCAAAACAACCACTTACTAATGATTGTGATCTGTCCAACGGATTATTGTTTATTAATGTGAGATTTTTAATAATAGTTTATCCTTATTATGTAATAAAAAGGATATTTTCTCGAGTGTTCTGTCACAATTAGTCAATATTTATTATTAAGCTGTATAAAATGTATACTTTTCTTTATCCAGATAGTATATTACCTATTTATTAATGTATCATCAATTGAACAGTTTACATCATAATAATGACTTAATTTAATGCTAACCATTGTCCCCTATTAATGTTTGGTGTATCGATTTCTTTGCGGTCACTTATCGATCTCAGTACAAATTCGCGAAATATGAAGATCAATGATTTTTCCATAAATTTTCTTTTAAACGTTTAAGTACAAGTTATAACTCCATAAGAGTGTCTTAACTTTATTCTAACTTTCTGGTTTAGGCACATAGTTCACACTATTTACTGAGACTTGTAACCCACCGCGGAAATTTGTGTTGTTGTTCAGTCTCAGAAGTATTTTTTTGTTCAGAGGTTTGTGGAGATTGTTGCCTCCTGCTGAAACTAACCTCCGGAGGAAATCCTTTGAGCTCTAGTGAGAAACTGTAGTTCAACAGTGTTGGGTGAGCGAGTTACCCACCAATGACAGTGAAATATGGATAGTATCGCCTATCGAACGAAGTTAGACATGTAAACCATTAGATGCTGGCTCAGGTTAACATCTTGCCACGAGATCTGTAAGTCCTGAGTTCGATGTTACGTGGGTAATGGCTATTTGCTTCTGAGAAGTCTCATACTAGGACGAGACAGCTGTACAGTGTTTTCTGGTTCCCAGTGATTGTCTAGCCTAGTTCTGTTTATGATCTCAGTAATATCTTTTTTGTTTGTTAGTATACTTCATTCCCACTTTTTGACGGAATAGTTTCAAAACACTTAGTCTAAAAGAGCATAAATATTATATCGATTTTTTTGTTGTATTGACGTTTGGAATTGTCGTATTAAAATATTTCTCCGTCTTCATATTCTTCTGAATACTGTGTTTGTAAATTGATTTGAATTTACCTATTGTACGGATTATGTTTCCTTTTTTTAAATCTGTCAAATTCTGTTAATCTTTTTATGCTGTCTAGTAAATTTTGAGGACAGTTTTCATCGTGAGTAAGTAGCTTTTAAACATTCATCTAAATAAAAAAGTAACAGTCATTCTAACTTTACTGATTAACAATGAACATTCACGATTCTCGTCAGAGAATCAAACATAAGATGCTCAATAGATTTTAATGACTTGTGATATTTTAAATAATATTCAATTTGTTATTTATCTTACCTTATTACTATGTATTTTTGTGTCCATTGAACGATAACCATGATCAGTGGTTAGAGAGTTTATGTAATATGTCTCAAAGTCGTTCAAAATCGAGCAAATTCATCCTCTTTATTTTTCTTCCCATCTTAAATTCCATTATTCTTTCATAAATATCTTTCCACTCTGCCTTTTTGAACCATATTCCCAATGTTCAGTCTTTTTCAGTGTCATTGCTACTACATTTCCTCTAAGATTACAAATCAAAATAAAGCTACATACATCATTATGTCAATAAAATCCTTTTCACTGTCGTTTATAAGTGCATAGATACAAGTTTTTTTATCAATCCTGAATATATTTCTATTCGTTGATATGTTTTCTTTAGGAATTCTCTCATACATACGCCGCTATGTATATTACGGTATGGTTTTAATGTGAAGCTATTGTCACTTTAACATTTCAGCTCATACCATTTGAAATAATGTTTGTTTACCTTTCTTATGTATATCTTTTAACTTATTTAATTGTTGGTGAATTTAATGATGAATATAAGTCTTTAACCATTTAGTATAATAATACATATATACATGTGATTGTTTGAGCGTGTATGCGCTTATTTGCTTGCTTATACATGCTTTCCTGCTTTTAAATTTATGCTTACATAAATATTTTGTTTACTTATCAGTTCTTTAACTTAAAATTCATTAATATTCATCAACTATTGTGCTTAATCAGATGAAAAACCCGAGAAACTTGGATTTTTGTTTTACTAGATTCTAGTTAAAAAATAATATTTCATAATAAAATCGTTTTCATTTGGATTAAATTTTCAAGTTACATAATTCCATTCATAAGGAACCTAATCAACCAACTATGTTTTATTCATATGAACCCGCATTGCTTAAGTTCACTTAGAACCTTGTAAAAACTCACTTTTTGTTATATAGAACAGTTTTTTCCCCAGAAAGTTTTTAATCAATTTAGAAGAATTGTTTTCGACTAGGAAGATGAACAAAATAGGATGTTATGAACATGTTGAAGATGGTAAAATGTACAGCGTGGAATTCAAAGTTACATAAGTCCAACAACACTTAGTTTAATCTGTAAAATATGAAATCAAAATTAAAATTCTATCAGTACACTATTAGATAAAGTATTATATTGTTTAATGTTTTTCGATGCGCAGTTGATGTTCATCTGTTGCGTTAGTGTCAGTTATGTTCGTAAATCTGCGCATTAATATAACCGTATTCAGTTTTATCTACTGTTTCTGTTTCCGGGTGATTAAATTAAAAAATAAAAAAGGCTGGTTGTGCATTCATCTCTTTCTTTACTTTTCTGTAGTGCAGAACAACAGTCGTCAGAAGTAGCAAAAAATAAACCTGGAAATAAGGTCAGCTCAGTATGTTTGCTGATTTATTTTACATATATATATGTATATATTTTATTTAATATACGAGCAGATTGTTTCTATTGAGGGAGATTTAAATTCTGTAAATTACGTTTTTTTGTTCATATCCTACTAATTAAATGTACGAGTAAATGTAGTAGTTTACCAATACTATCGTTTTGATGTTTACATCTGATCAATTTATGAGGAAAAATGATGCTGACTTCTGGTGATGCCGTTTGGCTGTTAGAATTTTACCAAATGCTACAAGATTTAAACCTACATTTTAATGATTTAATGTCAAATATTTAAACCATTAAATCACCACTTCCTTAACTGTTTTAACTATCGTATATCCATAGTGATTTTCTATATATTATAGTTTGGATGTAGGGTTTGTTTCCAATCCATAGTGTTGCGCGCGAAAATTAAACCTATGTCATATGCAACAGGCAAAGATAGTAATCAAAAAGAGACTTACATTTTTAAAACATCATTTGTTTTCATGGTATGTGCGAAAAATCTACCAGCCTACTTCGGCATATTTCTTAAAACAGTTTTCATTAGAAGTCGACACATCTGAATTGTTGCAGGTTTATTATCTGTTGTTTATGAAACAATTTCTCAGTTTGTGTCAAAGTTCTGTACATGTTACCGTGATATAATAAATTATTTTTCACATATTAGAAGCAGATGAATTTGTTTAGTAATGACTTGATTATTATTACTGTGTAAATAATTGTGATTTGCACATATCACATGGCTAATGTCGAAAATACAACACGACATACTTAATTCATTCATTCGTCCAAATTGTTTTTTTGTAGACATAATTGATTTTTAGTGGTAAATTTATTGCATAATTTACCTACCAATAAACTCTTCGACATACTGACTGGTTCGTATGTAATTTTAACTTGTGGACTATCGTATTTCTAGTGTACACATAATTATTTTCTGACGTCAGATGATGTTGTTTCTTGACACAGTCTTTTTTCAAACTATAGAGATATCTTTACAGGATATCTACGTTTGGAGAGTTTTTAAAGGATTATCCCTCAACTACAGGGATTTAATGTGTAATGTTTTTTAAAGGGATATGAAATTCCAATCCTTGTTTATGATTTTGATTGTGTGGCCGAGGAGACAGTAGGCATTGGTACTCCAACAATCAATGCCTTTAAAAGTTATTCCAATTTATCCATATTTTAACATACTATGCATGGTGATAAGGCGTAGTGAAATCGACTGTTCAATGTTTTTTCTAATTTCACATCGCCTGTATGCTTCGCTATTGAAGTAATTGGTCTGTCCAGTTATGGGTTATCAATGATAATAATATAGTTAAGTCCTTTAGACGTCATGTTTTGAAGCTCGATGTATCGTAGTTATAGCGAGAAGGCCATTCAGCGAATACATCATTCGGACCTAACGTCCATTAACGAATTTCATACATACTAACCATCTTCATGAATAAAACACAAGTGATTTTAATTGTAAACTAGATATTTGCATACATTTTCATACATATTCATATGTGCTTCATATGTATAGACCTTGATTCACAAATAATTACTATCTACAAGTACCTATTAATAATTATTCGAATCACTATTTCGCTTATTTTCGAGTTACGATTCAGTCTAATTTACCTTGTTAATGGGAATTGCTTAAAGACACAGCTTTTGGTTTTAGAGAAATTAAAACATGTACGAAGAAGTTTACTTGGAATGTACGGAACGTGACTTACAAAGGAACGCAAGCAAGACGCATGCTTCGTATTATTTCGAACTCGTCAACTGGATGTGATTTCATCTCATAGTTGATGTTCACTCGGGAATTCGAACCCAGTATCTTCCGCTTTAAACGGGATAATCTTAACCATTATAAATTAAATTATGTACAGTGAAGCTTAATTTCGCCATTCAATAAATGCGCGATTATGTTTTTTAGTAGAGGATACAATACTTTTTATGCATATCCGTCAAATTTGAACAAATAGTTAAGCCAGAATTAAGCACCGAGTATATAAAGGACAATATTTGCTAAAAAAAATCATACTTAAAATAATCTCAGAGATTGAAACTTAAATATCTCCATTATGTCTCTTAACAAACCGTTTCGAACTTCTTAAAGGTAGCAATAAACATTGTGGAAACATTTTTTGAAGGGTCAGTTTGATAAGCATTTAAAAATATATTTCAACATTTTACTTATATCAAGGTTATTTTAGCGTGGGTACGAATTATATTCTATTCAAGTAAAAATATGTTTAATTCTCTATGTTTTGGCGAATTATTACTTATGATGTAATGCTTCTTTGTTGTTATATGCCATAGCTTTACTATTCATCAACGATTTCTAAACATTAAGACCTTTACTTTCATAAAGTGGAAACAACTGTAATCGCACTTGAAATCACTATGTCGAAATTCTAAGCCATAAATGTGCATCCAATTTCATTGTACTTAATTTTGTATGGGATGTTCAACGAAAATAGGAATATGTCGTTAAACAGCAACATAGAAAAACATTAATATACAGATTTAAACTTTATAAATGTGAAGAAATAACTAGACTAATGAATCATCATAGCAGCACAGTTATTAAGGATGTTCGTATTGAGTTGCACATAATCTGACATTAAAAAAGTTATATTTATCTACATACATTTTTGGTCAATGAATAATAAATGTTTATGCTTACATTCTTTCCTGCTTATGACTAATAGCCATATTGATTTTATTTGTTTTTCAGGTAATTCGTAAAGGTTGGTTATCTTTGCAAAACGTTACCTTGCTTCGTGGAGGTAACAAAGATTTTTGGTTTGTATTAAATACTGAATCATTGACCTGGTACAAAGATGATGAAGTAAGTTACATAACAAATATTCTCTTATAAATTCAATGTTGAATACTTTGACATTTGCCTCGTTTTGTGTTTATGACTGTAAGGACTTAGAGATCGTTATTTTAATTTTTTAGAATTTTATCTAATTCAATTTGATGCTTATTAGTTTTGTATTTTGACACTTCTTAACAGTTGTTTACAAGATGTACATTTCATCTTAACTGCTACTCGTTAGTTAATGTACTTGGTAAGAATGTATCCCAATACTTATTTAATCATGATGCACTATTCAATTCATTCTTGAAAACCTGTTGAACTGTGCAGTGTCTCCCAACAGATTCTGCCAGAATCAGCGAATAAAGACTTATTTTAGCGCCATTTTAAAGTTTGTAAGCTGTAAGTATGTGGTTAAATGTTAAAAACAAATGCACAACTGAATAATTTATTTATATATTTAGTCAATGTGGTCTATTAATGTTACAAATTGTATACATATATTTATATAAATATATATACTGAATAATTTTTGTCAGCTACTACGTTGTTAAGTATATTCAAATTTACCTACTGATCAAACAAGTAAACCATATTTAATTCGATGTAGTTTTTATCTAGTTTTCGAATAAATTGTGGAATCGGTGATTGTATTTGTTGCATATTAAATCCACCTCTACTGTCTCTCTTTCTTTACATTATGGTGTTATTAGTTCCTGATTAGTTATACCGAAGCAAGTAACCAGTTTTATCCACAGGATATCAAAAGTAGCTACGCTAGTATTTTGTCAAGTTACAAAACAGTACAGCGCCCCTGAGCCGGCACATTTGTTGACCGATTCCTAAGGGAATCTTAATGTTTTCTGTAAAATTCTTACATTCCATCATAGTTGGTTAGGACTGCAATCAAACATCCGTTTTCCTTTGTCTTCTCAATCGTTAGGGGATAAAATAGAGTTATATATATATATATATATATATATACTGGTTATTACTAGTCGACTAGGGATCAATATTCTTACTGTTAATGTTTTACATTTTTTTCAGGAGAAAGAAAAGCGTTATGTCCTATTATTGGATGGTTTAAAAATACGCGATATTGAAACGGGATTTTTCGGTAAAAAGCATGCTTTTGCACTATTTTATCCGGATAATCATAATGTCTACAAAGACTATAAACAATTGGAATTATGTGCTGAATCAGCTGAATTAGTTGATTCGTGGAAGGCATCATTTTTGCGTGCTGGTGTTTATCCAGCTAAAACTAAATCGGAAAAAACGGAGGTATGTTATGAAAACAACATTATCCTATGATGGCTTTCTGTGGTATATGCTTATCTTAATGATAAAACGTTTTTAAAGACTATCTGACTGACATTGGATTATATCTTTTCTTACGTAATCTATTATCGAAATCCCGAGAAACAAATTATAATCAGAGATGGACTCAGTAGCTAGGTGGATACATGCGATAACGTTTGAAACGAAATGTACTGAATTCGAGTCCCGAAGTAAACATCAACTCTGAGATGCAGGTACATCCAGCTAACGAGTCTCAAATGGGACGAGACGCGTGTCTTGGGTTCCACTGTTAGCCACCATTCATCTCTGCTTATATCAAATGTGTTTTTTTTCTTTGTATAATATTACCAAATCAATGTAAATATTCTTTTTTTGTACTTTTAATAATGAATAGTGGGTTTTATTTTTCTGTCATATAAATCAACAATAATTAAAATAGTTTTGTTACAAATGAAAACGAGTGCATTTATATATGTGATAGATAACCTAATAGGAACTATACTGCAGTATTTTTTATTTGTATACTAAAAAATAAACATTTTTGGTCGGTAATTTGCTTCCCTCTTTCCCGTAACCATAAAAAATGGATTGTTTTAAGTACTCAACCTTAAAAGATTAAAAGGTTGTCTTTTTCGGATTATTGGGATGTAAATAAATCATCGAATTTATGTGTTTAGAGTTAACCAATAAGAGGTATCTACATTAACTACATTAGTGAGGACATACATTTTAAACACCAAAGTTATACTTACTTTGTGATTAGATTCTGAGAAAAACTTATGGGCTTCTATTATTATCTGTTACCAATTTATGAAATGTTTGGTCAGTAAACTAGTAAGAATAGGAATATTTCTGATGTAACTATTTATTAAATTCTTTTGTGAATATCATTTAATTCTTTTCAAAAATATGTATTGTATTGTGATTCGGAATCTAAATAGAATTAAGATTTTTCATACTTAATCTATTTAAAATATTCTTTAAGTCGAAAAAGTTGTTTTAGTTGATTTAACATCTTTTATGGTGCTAGAAGGTATTGCATCATCGATATACAAAATAAATAATTATGTTTTAGCGTTTTTATAAAAAGTGGTTTTCGTTGTTATCCACCATACACATGCTACTTCATGATGTGGTTAACGTAGCATTGGTTTAAAATGTACTCATCTTAGCGGCTCTAAATTCAAAACCGATTGAAAATTTACTGATCACAGCTGTGAAACTATGTTTCTTAATTATTTCTCGAATCCTGTACACGTTTCTACGGCTATACATTGTTAGGAAAGAAAAAAAAAGCGAAAATATACCTAGCCAATATTATTTTTCCGATAATATTTTATTAGGCTTATTTTCATAGTTTTAATCAATTTCGGTATTCCTTTACCCTCTCTTCACTATCATTTGTTTTCAGCAATCTGACAATTCATCACTTGAATCCAGTGAGCCTCAGCTTGAACGTCAAGTAGAAATTATACGAAATTTAGTCGATTCATACATGAAAATTGTGATTAAAACGCAGTTAGATTTGGTACCGAAATTGTTAATGCATATGCTTGTTAATGAGGTGAGTATATATATATATATATATATATATATATAAATACATGTCATTCATACAAAATAACATTATGTTTTTGTTTTCCGTGGACGGATAACTTTACATTCAAAATATTGTTTTATTTATCCAAGTATTTTAACAGGACTTTTACCAAGCCTCAGTATACACTATGAGTCAACCAAATAGACAAAACCATAAAACTGAGTTAATGTCATTCGTCTGTATCCATTTATTTCTTTTGAAAGTAAATTGAAGTTCTATTTTTCTAGACAGTTAGTTGATAATGTGATCTAGGTTACTTTGATTTATAACGTTTTGTTAAACTAACGTCGGGGGTGTTATTTTACGAAATTGAGAGGACGAAAAGCGAATATCCGGTACTTCAACCAGGTTGGTGAGCACGAAGAGCCCATCTAGTGGACAGTATGTATAGGAAAGTAGTAGGAATGAATGCAACATCAATGATAGTGAAACGACTAAGCATTGTGAATATTGCTGAGATAGAAGATAAGAAAATATCTTTATGGAGGAATATTGAAACCTACTACTTAATTAAAGATAAAGAGTTCGTGCATCAGGAGCATTGTCACCGATTCTGTGCGGTGTTACCCGACATTTTTAAACAGTGATTACAGTTATCGCTCAGACTCCAACAATATACTCTATACATATTAAGACGACTCAGTCTAATAATCAGTGTCTTCGTGGACTAATTATATTTCTCTAGCTCTCTTTAACCTATTCTTATTCAAATTAGTATTACGCGTCAAGGTAGATGATGGTTCGGCATATATAACACATGACCCATTAACTGCAGTCAGTGGAAATTTACTGCTTTATGAACTGATCTGATAAATCTACCGTGTACCTTACGTCTAACTCCAGTATTTCTCACTCTATTGTTTCATAATATTTGAATAATACTTCAGAGGCATCTGTAAATAAATACTTACCCTGTATATATCTTCTACTTTCATATGTCATATCTCACAGCCGTAGAGTAATACAATGTTGTCATTTTGCTTCATATCTTATTGTGCTCAAGGGTTTCGCTTTTTCTAAACAATTAATAACATTATTCTTAGTAGTAATATAATATAAAATCATTGGCAGAATCTGTTCTGTCTTTTGGCCCTGGCAATTATCCTATGGCCAAGTCGCTAATCAGAATACCGACTTCTAAAATCTTTTTTTTGTGCTAAACCAATGACACGTCAACCAGCACTAACAGCCCTGCGTCAACTCTGAATGCTTATTGGTCCTCAAAATAACCCTGCCCATTGAGTCCAGAATACAGTCCCAACCTCCACTGTATGAATCATATGTTTCAGACATACGTAGTTATATATATACCCTGGTACGGCCGAGAGTGGGGAGAATCCGCTCTCCCTCTCGAAATGCTCGCACATGGCCATGCGTATATAGCCTCTGCCAAGGAAGCCCTACTCACTGCATTTTCGTGTCGGGGTTGTTGTTTACGAAAATGAGAGGACGAAAAGCGAATGTCCGGCGCTTTAACCGGATCCCAAACCAATGGTGCACATGCGCTGGATATATTTTTTCTGGATACATAAGTTTGGTTTTCTGGAGTTGGTCCAGATGGCTTCGGCTATGTAGAGCATTCGTAATCTAGCTCCTTGAGGTAGATATTTTGGAGCTTTATATAAAACATAGAAAGCTTCCTGTATTTCGATATGATGTTCACTATCTATCGAGTGAGAAAGAATAGTGCTGTTAATCCATTTAGTAACTCCTTTTTCCAACCATGCTGGTATATGTTCACGAACACACAAGGATAAAGCCCTCTGAATAAGGCCGATGTAACTAGCTCCACAGGAGCAGTTGAATTGATATACATACACGGAGGAGCCCATGTTCGGTAACATATCCTTGATTAGTTGTATGAGTACTGGTTTAGTTGAGAAAATTATGTGTAGCTTGGCGGCGTGAAATTTCGTTTCGACAGATCTTTTGAATCGACGTGTTAAAATATCATCCGCTATGTCCCCTTTAAAGTCTAGTCTCAGAGATAGGGTTTTTTTACTGACCGTATCACACTTTTTTCTTTTTTTTAGTACTTTCTACTGGGTATTTTTTTAACGAAATCATCTGGATAGCCATTATTTCGTAATGTGTTCTTTAATATATCTATTTCGCCATCATCACTGTCTTCAGAACATAATAACTTGATTCTGTGGTTGAGACATTTAACCACATTTATTTTATATTGAAAAGGTGTGAAGCTTTTGAAATGGGTATACTGACACGTCCATGTACTTTTTCTAAATATATTTCGCTTTATGGAACCGTCTATCCTTCTAGAAAGTAGGACATCCAGAAAAGCTATACTACTGTCTTTCTCCTCCTCCCTGGTGAATTTAATGGCTGGATGGACGTTATTGAAAGAGTCCAACATCTGTTTGTCGATATTTTCGTCACATACGATTGATCACTCAGTAGGGAATTTATCTTGTCTATGTAATCTGTCTTGTTTATAATTACATTGCCTTTGTAAAATATCATAATTATGGACTTATAACTGTAGAACCTGATGATGAAGTTATTGAAAACAATTATTCACTCAAATATTCTTCATTTTTGTATTTGATTTCTTTAACAGTCTCAATTTGCGTAAAATACTTTTTTCCATGTAGCTTTTTAGTAATAATTAATGTCGGTTGTTAAAAACATTTTCTTTTCTTGTTCAGATTAAATCCTTTTTAAAAGGTGAACTATTACCAAATTTATATCAGGCTGGTGACTTGGTGAGTTTTTTTATTATTTACAGTGAATCAGTTATATTGTTTTCTTTCATTTCGTTTGTAAGTAGATTTTTAGTCTCTTTTTAATAGTATTATGGTGATAAATTAATGGAATTCATGAATTTATTTAACATAATTTTTTTTCCTGATTTTATTCCATGTTGTTGAATGGATCGACTTAGTCATGAAAATCATTTTTGAAAAACTAAGAAAGTCTAAATAAACTTTATTTTAATGTTCACAATTTCTGATTTATTTTTTACAAATAAATTCTAATCACTATACCTACAGAAAAATCAAACAGTAAATAAAGTGAATCAATTAATGAATATTAGCTTCAAATATCTCCAATTATGTGTAGCCTTAATTAACTTACTTCTAAATCAACATAATCCAGTTGATATAATTTTAGTTTGATTTTGCTCAAACATCATTTGACTTCACTGACCAGTGTTGTTTTTGTATATATAACAAAAGTAGTATGAGTTGTTCAGTCTAGCTATAAAGTATGGAATTACTTACTTACGCCTGTTACCCTCAATAGAGCTTAGGCCACCGTTCAGCATTCTCCAACCCACTCTGTCCTGAGCCTTCCTTCCTAGTTCTATCCAATTTTTGTTCATTTTTCTCATGTCTATCTCCATTTCTCGGCGTAATGTGTTCCTTGGTCTTGAGGATTCCAAGTGAAGGCTTGCTTTGTGACGCAGTTGAGTGCTTTTCTCTATATGTATCCTATCCACTTCCTGATTTCTTCCTCCGCTGGGATCTGATTTGTTCTCTCCCATAGTGGGTTGTTGCTGATAGTGTCTGGTCAACGGATCCGAAGTATTTTGCGTAGACAGGTGTTAATGAACACTTGTATCTTCTGGATGATGGCTTTCGTAGTTCTCCAGGTTTCCGCCCCATGCAGTAATAAAGCATGGAATGGGATGTTTGAATTTTGATTGTGTTTACATTTGAAAAGTAAGTGAACCTTACTAATCATCAGAATTTAGGATTGTAATTAAAGACAAAATAATGTGATTATAATAGTTCTTAATGTTATTTGGTATTTTCATCCAATTAGTGTAATTTTCTTTTATTATCTATACATTTACTGTCATTATTATTACACTTTAGAATTCATTAATGTCCGAATCATTGGGGGTTCAACAAAAACGCGATGAAATGGTCCGCGTTTATGATGCTATGAAAGAAGCGTTGAATATTATAAGTGAAGTGTCTATGTCCACTGTATCAACACCAATTCCACCGCCAGTCAACGATGACTGGTTACAGGTATATGGTTATTTTATGTATTTTTTTCACTTAAAGTACGTTAATGCAACTCAGCTATCTCATTTATATTCATATGCTAGAGCATATTTTACTGTTTGCTAATTGATAATCCTAACTGGACGTCTAAAGCTTGATATATACTAATGGCCTTATTTTCTTGTGATACGACCTAACTTACATTCTGTCCTGGGACTTCATTATTACGTATCTTTTCTTGTACGTTGAAATAGGTCATGTAAATAAATACGTCGAATTTTATTTCCATCTTGTATTACAATTTTAACTACTTAAACAATATCAATATAATAAAACATGTACATGGAACTCGAACAACTAACAGACTTTCATAGATAAATTTGAACAATCGAAAAAATTAAACCTCTCCATGTTGACTGTGCTAAGAATTTCTAGTTGATTTGTTTGGATTTCAGTTATTATATGATATTTTAAAAAATTTGATATTGTTTTTAATCATTCTTACATTTTAATAAATAGAGTGATATTCCAGGCGGTTTAACTGCTCCTGGATCTACAGGTACACTTCCTCCTCCTAGTCCAACAGCCAATCGTCGTCCACCAGCACCACCTCCTCCTGGTGGATGGAATTCTACAAGTAATACGGGTTCAATCAAAGGCTCTGGTCCCAGACAAGTACCATCAGTTCCTGCTAAAACAAGTTCTGGACAACTACCTTCTCCATTAATTCCTCAGTAAGTTTTTGTTGTCGTTATTATTAAAATAATATTTTCAAATTATTGTTGTTTCAAAGTAGTGAACCCTTAAATCATGCCCTTTTTAGACATAGTTATTAGCATACGAAGAAACATAGTTCGATTGACCTTTAAGAGTAGAATATATTCGTAAACCACTAGTATTTGACTACAGATGTCTTAGAAATATTCCTGGTATCTATTGGGATCACTGGGTAAGTAATAGTGAGGTTAGACGGGGAGGGTATTAGGGAATGATGGTAAATCAGTTGATGAGGTTATGAATCTTCATCGACTGAGATGGTTGGGCCACGTGTCGCGTATGCCTGAACACCGATTACCACGACGTGCAATGCTAACAGGTATTAGGGATAACTGGAAGTTAGGGGCGGCCAAATCAAAACGTGTCATCAGTGCTTGAGGTCACTAACATCTGGTCTGAGCCATGTTGGTAGATGTAGACTACTTGGTTGAGGTCCGCGTGACTATCGTAACCAATGGTTGGAGACTCTGTGACATGGCTCGGAATCGATCACAATGGCGTCGGTGTATACACTCTCTGTCTTCCCTTAAACTAAGAGATTAAAATCGTTTCATATTTTTCTTTCTACGAACTAATTCTTTCTTCCTGTACTATCTCCTTATATGCAACCTTTCTTTTATATATTACCACCACTGAATTAACTACTTCTATGAATCCGGTGTTCATCTTGTTGTGCTAATGCGGTATGGCAACTTGGACCGATGCATATATGTGCCTGGTTGTATGTTGCAGCTGACTGAGTTCCATTGATGATGAAAAAAAAACACAGAACTTCCTAATAATAGATTGTTATCACGCCTACAAACGGAGATTTGAATAAGTAAAAAAATGACAATTGGTGTGGAAGTGTTCAGAAATCGTTAAGTGATTTTTCTATTATATTACCAAAGAATAATTTATCTTCAACTTATAAAATCATGCTGTTATGGACCCACCTTGCAAGTTTTTAATTCCTTCACATAATTTAGACTGCAAGTCGGTAATATTGTTGAACTATAATCGATGTTAAGAATTGATCGATACTGACTTTTTCTTCCTCAACTTATCGGGATATACATTTCTGAACGGTACATCGTTTTCTAAAGCTGAAACTTTTACTATTATTCAGCTTTTATCAGAAAAGCGTCCATATACTTTGATATAAAAATGATTGGATTGTCTCTACTCAACATTGTGAGCAAATTGATTATCTAAAGAACGAGTAGCGTCAAGAACCTAAGAAGCCAACATTTTTATGGCAATATTGGTCAATAGATTAGAATTGATTGTGCAAGTTTCATATTATGTATGTGCATTAATAATACACTTATCTGGTCAAATATGTGTCTGTGTAGAAGGCTAGCAGTGAAATGTTATTTTATAGGAGCTGTACGCATACTGCTAAAGTATACAAATTTTATGTTAATAGTGTTGAACTCTACGCTCATGACTTTAATTGTGAATGCTGAAACTAACTTTTATGATATAGACACATTTATAGGGATATATATAATTGGACAAATTATATATATGGGAGATATTTCTATAGCGTTTACAAGTTTCACAGACTACTTTCAATAACAGTCGTATGTAATTCTAACAACTTGAGTTAAAACTTTCAAAGCCACAAAGTCAAAATGTACCTTAAAATTTGTGGGAGTTAAAAAGTAGATAAAGCAATGTATATTTATGATTCACTGTACTATATTATAAGCTTCCAAACAACTGTTTGATTATATTATTATTTGTTTTCATTGATTATAATTATCTACTAACAGTTGTCTGTAAATTCAGTCAATAAATATGTGTGATACTACTTTTGTTTTCTGTTGGGTACTGGTTTATTTTGTACTTGGAGGGGGGAATACTTCATATTAATACATTATTCCTGTTGTAAACATGATAAACTGCACTGTTTTCTTAAATTATTTGTCTTTTTGTTGTTTCATGTGTTGTGCATTATATATGTTGTCACTTATTTCTGTTTTATTCATTTTGTACATCTATTTTCATCGATGCACATTTCCTACGATTACTACTACCATCACAATCGTAAATCTCATGTTTTACATGTATACGTGCACGTTCTATACATGTGTATGTATATGTAGACGGTTATATCCAGCTGACATGTTTACGATCGTGAAAGATTCCAATTCTCCTGGATTAATTAATTCTATGACAAGTTTTCCATTAGTACCTCCATCCATTCCTGCGTAAGTAAATAAAACCATATATCAGTCAATGTTTACCATCCAATTTAGAATGTTGATTTTTTTCCTTGTTATTGTCGTTGTTCCTTGCATTAAAAATTGGTTTGCATGAGGTTGAAGTGAGTTACCGTTTGTTTCTTTTTTTATTTGTATACCTAACAGAAAATGGTAAACAGTTAATCACACCATAGGATGGGATAAAAAAATCCTAAGGCGAATGTATGCCTACTTATTTCATTAATGAACAAGAGATTACGAATTAATTACTCTTTCAAGCTACTACTTTCACATAATCTCGTAATAAGTGTACACATATACCAAATGGCTTAAATTTAATTTCAATGAAGTCTCGAGTCGATCGCAGTTAAACAACCATTGAAAACTTGGAAGCACTGGACGGCCGTTTAGTTTTAGTATGAAACTATTGTACTAATTACTTATTATTGTTAAATGAGTTACTATGTTATATCTCAGCCTTATATCGATGATATTTATGTAAATTAATATACTTGAAGTGTTGAAACAATTTGTCATCAGGTGATAAGTTAAACTGTTCAATAGATAAACGCTTGATTCGAAGATAACCATCCCTTTTCAGTGTTCAGTAAAAGTACAATATTCAATAATTTTGACCATTTTCCCATTCATTTAGTGCGCCAGTGTGACATGTAAAACTGATTTACACGGAGGGTTTCATTTTAATCATGTAGAGCTTTCTTTTTATGTCTTCTGTTAATACGCTACTGTAGCACATTCCAACTTGCAGGATGAAAAAAAGTGAAAGTTACAACGAAATTTACAGCTAAACTTATTCTTTTATCTGTAGTATTAACTTACAATATAAACAGAAATAATTCTAGGATATTGCAAACATATTACACATTAATCGACAGATACACTATAAATTCACAGATGTATATCTTATGCTGACGGTTGTTATCATTGATGTTGAATCTTTGACACCTTTAAATGTTAGGTTTGTTTCAATCATTCACTGTTTTAATTGTGTGTTTGAGCATATAATATTGACGTTGTGAGTTTGAAAACTCATATTGCATATTATAAAGTTTGTGATAACTAACCAATGCACGTTTCTACTCGATCTTATCTTATTTGTAATTAAAACTCGAACGACTTTAGGGTTAATATTTCTTATGAGATTTATTCCACATGCTTTTTTTTCTAAATTCCGCAGTTGTATTTACATAGTAACACTTTAGTAATAGCTATGAACACTTTTTTCGATCTACTGCTTCAATAATCGTGATCAATCATGTCATTTAAAATGTCTTTTACTGTAGATCTTTGCATATCTCATAGACTGAAACTTTCAATGATATTAAGTTGTTTATTCACACTCACTCTGTTGTGACCGACCTGTTTTAATTTATATCCGGTTCACAACGATTAGTCATAAATTATTTTTAAACATTGTATAATTGTTGAGAAAATGTGAAATTTCTTCATTCTTCCTATCTTACATGTCAATAATCGTAATAAGACATCTACTAAGATGAAAATTTATTTAATCCTGTGGTACACACTATACTATACTGATAATTTCCAATTGATTTTAAGTCTATCAGAATCCAAGTGATGTATGTGGATAATATACTACGTAAAATTCCATAAAGGTTTAAGAGGCATGTTAGAAATCAAACGCAAGAATGCTGTGCTATCATACGAATGAAAATGAAGTTAGTTCTTTGGTTTTTTAGTCTAGTACTTTTCTTATTATTTTAAATATTTATAAATTGTAATCTCTATCCTTTGGACTAACTATGTTTACAAATTTTAGACATCTTATTTACTAAATATTGGCAAGACTTACTCAAATCTCAATAAAGTACAAATTAACTTCTGTCTACAATCTGATTGGTTCGTTGGTTCAGTTTTAGCGCTTCCTGAATCATTATATGTATATAATTTACTTGTCAGAAAAATAATATATAATTCTTTGATAGTAGTCTTTTCTAAACATCTGTTGTGAAACGTTTCACAGGAAACGTCCAATTAAGGTCTAGATTAAACAAAGTTCAGTATTTAGTTTCCGATGTTATTGTTCACTTTTCACTGTTTTAATATATTTTTTTCTCCACTAATTTTCAATTACGCTTTGTCCGATTTCATTTTAGGCGTCGTTGATAAATTACATCACTCAAACAATGTTATCAGAATCAATTAATGCAATTATTTATTCTCAAAATCGATATTACATTTTCTTCTAGTAATAATATTATATTGTGAAAAACAATTCCAGTTGATGACAAGTTAAACAATTATACATTTCAATGTGCTACATCAGTTAACTTACATTCAAACCTCCATGCACGTGCACACACGCACAAACTCATATATAGACATATAATTTATGAAGCTTGGTTAACAACCAAGCTGTTTTGATGCATAATAACAAATATTGTTGTATACTTCATAAATTATTCTTATTGTTGTAATCAATATCATTCAATATTATCATCTTCATCAACATATTCCTTACCGTCTTCAACTTTGTCCGTTAAACCCACATATTTACACAGTAGTGTACGGTTACTATTGATCTTTTATTTAAAATTCTGTTTGTAATTATAATTACAGTTGTTATTTCTTTATCACCATTATCATTATCTAAAACCATACTACATTTATTATCAATTCATGGTAATGTTGATGATAAGTATAATATTACTTATAATTGGTTTGAAAAATATTATTATTCATTCCTTGTTCTTTGTGTTCTTATTCATTCGTTCATAAATTGAAATATGTTATAATGGAGGATTACTATTTGTTTTGTAGATATTTCCTTCATTTTGTCTTAAGTTAATAATTTATTGGTTTTTCTTTATAAAATATTAACTGGGATATTGTTAATCATAAGGTATAACTTATATTTTAGCAGAGATTATTAGAAATTATATTGTCTTTTAAATAATGGATATAAATATATTAAAATTTATTGTTTACTTTCAGAGAACCATGTATATAGTTTGTCCACAAAAATGCAAATTAAGATATTTACGTTATTAGTTATAAATTTAGGCAATTTTGTTTCTGTAAGTAGGAAACTTCATTTGTAAATTAGCCTTATGTTGCTACTTTTTAATGGTATCAAATACAATGTATCTTTTTCCAGGAAAGTAAAACAAGGAATGTTGCCTTGTATCTAAGGATTCTCATCACTAAACACCACATTAAGATTTCGTTTTATTCATCGAATTTCAAAAGTTATGCGTAAGTAGCACTAATATGCTATAAAGACGATAAAGCGTGAAATTATTAAAGGTCTGTAAATGTGACTGAGGATACTTTGAACAGTTTTAATATAAATGGGGCAAGTGTATTATCACAAATGGGAAGTAGTTCGAAATGAATAAGAATAATGTACCTTTAGTTTTGTAAAACATTGTCCCTATAACATGAGTTCTCGTATTAACTGGAAGGTTTCAAAATAAAGTGTAACTGCGATTCTAGTGTAGTAATAAATAAATCACTATAGGATTGACCAGATTAATGAATTTTGTGTTATGATGGAGCGTATACTGAGTGTTTGAAATATAATAATAGAGGCTTGACTGCATTGTCTTCCCATTGAACTCAAGACTAAGGGGAAGAAGGTGCTCATCTCGTCAGCACTTACGGTTAACCGTACTAGCTTTAAGGGTCTCATTGTCAGAGTTAAGTAATTATTCAATAGGCTACAGCAAATCAGCATCTCACCTCACTCTGGTTAGTTTTTATTTCTTTACAGAAGGAATTTTTCTAATTTAAATTTACAAACAGCATATGGAAAAGTTAAGTTTAAAAGTGAAACATTCAACTTCACATTGGACATGATGAGAAAATCGCATGTTACATTGCGGAAAATCCGTCTTCATTTGTTCATAACTGCTCAGATTGAGTGAAAAAACTTCACCAAAAGGGTTGATTGGGTCGTGAATGCGCGCTGCTGAGGAGTCCCATACTAGGGCAAGACGGCCGTCCTGTGCTTCCAGGTTTTCCTTGGTGGTCTAGCTTCGATTGACTCATGATTTCAACTATTGAAATTACTAAAATCTCCACAAAACCTAATTCTCTAATAAACAATAAAAATGAAGGGTTTTTCTAATAAGAACAAACTTTTAATTATGAAAATATCAATAATGTTCTTCACTTCAAGTAGCGTTATTTTGGCATGAAAATTTCTCCATTTCAAATTCATTGCATATTTTATACTAAAATTATTGTTAGAAATGAACTCATATGTTTACTTAACAAAGTATTTAGGTATCTTCAGTGTAGAAAGATTGTATTAGGATATTCCAACCATCTGATGCCACCTTAATTCTTTAAGTGTTAAATATTTACTACAAGACATGGAGCTTTTCGAATTGGCTAACTGAGTTGAGAAATTTTAGATTTATTTAACCGGTCTCTCAGGTTTGTCCGTATTTTAAAAACCAGTTATCATGGACAAAATCTTAAGGAATCAAACACCCAGCTGACGGAACACAATGCCAACATAGATATAGCTATAATTTCAAAGCATAGCTCAGAAATTTAATTATTAGTATTTATAGTACATATCAGTTAAAGGATGTAAGAACATGTGTACTGCAGGAAAAACTCGTTACATTGTGACATAATTCCTCGTAAAGATATGCTCTAAGCTTTATCAGTCAAGAAATATATATATATATATATCGCCTTTATGATATTTGAATTTTGCCAGAACAACTGTTAAGTCCATAAAAACTCATACATAAGTATCCATCTCTCCCCAAGAGCTTTCATATGAAATAACTTCCGCATTTTCAGTGTGCACTCATTGATTCTATGGAAATTTCAGACGAAAAATATTAACGGTGTTCAACTATTGTATTGTAAATTATTTTAATCCAGCTGCGATAGTTACTTATATTTACATTACTCTGTGTATTATAAATAGCTGTTTTTGTCCGAGTTAAAATTTTGAAGGAAACAGAAACGCATTGCTCCCGATTGATTTCTTTCCCCAATACACAGTATACTAAGGGAGGCTAGTCCTCAAAATAAGTGAAAGATTATATATTGATTTAAATGTAATTTCCGTTCAGTTGACTTCCATATTAGCTAAGTGTGTTATATATTTATCTGATTTATGAATCGATTCACTGTAATTTACACTATTCATTAATGCAATGTGATTTCCTGTTCACTTGACTTTTGTTCAATGTGGTATTCAATAATATTAACTTCATGTGAAAGTTAATTAGTTCGACATACTCTTTAACTAACAGTCATTGAATATGTTGGGGATGCTAGATCCCCAGAAATCACTTAGTAAACGTCTTATTTTGATAATTTTATTTTGGAAATTTGAATTTCTCGTTTTCGCTCTGAAAGCGCCGATTTTCGGAGAAAATATTGATTTCATCGTTTATTATATCAATTGATGGTGTAAATCATTCACTTGATTATTGAAAGAGTTTCTGGTTGAATTGAGACATTATAAAAACTTGTTTAAGCTTAATTATCGCCGATATAACTCTTCTGACACCTTTCAGACTATCTACATATTTGACTAAGCAGACAACCAATCATGATCATTCTCGTCCACATCACTTTTCTTTATTTATCCTAAATACTAATGTTGAACAGTTGTCATAACCAATTCACAACTATTGATAGGATGATGTGTTACTACTGAAATAACAATTCAGTAACCGTTGTGTTTCCCCTAACATAATAAAGCTGTTTGTACTAGTTCGTTGTGTTTAGTCTTTGATTTTCCTTTTTCTTCTTCTTCTTCTTCTTCTTCTTCTTCTTCTTCTTATTATTATTATTATTATTATTATTATTATTGCTATTATTATTATTAGAGATAATCCTAGTTTCCTAAACTTTTATAATGAGAAACTTCTGGTGATTAATTTTTTCCCACCTGGTTATTTTCAAGTAAACAACTAGATATATTATTGAAATCATGATTGATAACCATTAAAAACCAGGAACCACTGGATAGGTGTTTCGTCATTTCAGTAACGTTTTAAAACCCATATAATGGAGACTAGTTATGCCGTAAATAATTATTTCAACAATTTTATTAGGTTTAAAGAATAACTTCCCTATTTATTTAAGCCAATTAAATCATAAATAAAAAGACTTAAACTATGAATAACTTTCAACTAAATGCAATAAAAAAAGCGGTAATGATTTTATATTTAATTGGTTGTTAAACTTCAAATACACATTCTAATAATTCTGTAATACAAATTAATTTCACGATCTATGAAAAGTATTTATCTAGTTGTTTTTAAACTGTACAATTATCAATTGCAATTTTCAATATCAATCAAGAGATTCAAACAAACAATACAAAATGAGTTTAAACTTCACTTCATTGCACAAGCAAGCAGTTATCAAGATTAAGTGGATAATGCGGTGGCGTTTAAAGAGAATGGTACTATGTTCGAGTTCCAGAGTGAACATCAACTCTGGGATGTAGGTACATCCAGTTGATAAGTTCCAAATAAGATGAAATGCGCGTCATGGATTCCACTATTAGACACCATCCATATTTGCTTATAATTAATATTTTTGCGTTAGATCCGTTATAAAAAATAATTATATATGTGAATTTAAAAAAATCCTACAACTTGTCATCATTCTGAAGTTCATAATATACAGAAAATAACATCACCATGGTTGTAAGATTTCTCCCTTGTTTATACTTTGGATCAGACAAGAGCAGAATACATTAGATTTCATGCTATAAAATGATTAAAACACACAACAATTAGTATTTTTAAGACATAAAAATGTGATGAATGTTAGTATTAAATGTTTTGTGCTGTAAATTCTTCAAACATATAGTAATGAATAGGGTAATTATTATTATAACTATTGTTACACAACTTCTTTGAAAGATTATGTATTAATCTGGTGAGGATAGTCTTACTCTAGAAGTAATCAACACTATCTAAAGCAACTTACGTTCAATTGAGTTTGCTCTTGTCTAATTCGGTTAAGCCCATTTATTAACTTATTAAACGGACAAAGTCATCTGCACTATAATAACTTATTGTACCTTTATTATTGTTATACTTACTTACTTTTACTTACGCCTGTTACTCCCAATGGAGCATAGGCCGCCGACAAGCATTCTCCATCCCACTCTGTCTTGGGCCTTTTTCTCTAGTTCCATCCAATTCTTGTTCATTTTTCTCATGTCTAGCTCCATTTCCCGGCGTAATGTGTTCTTTGGTCTTCCTATCCTCCTTCGACCTTGAGGATTCCATGTGAGGGCTTGTCTTGTGACGCAGTTCGGTGCTTTCCTCAATGTGTGTCCTATCCACTTCCAGCGCTTCTTCCTGATTTCTTCCTCCACTGGTATCTGATTTGTTCTCTCCCACAGTAGGTTGTTGCTAATAGTGTCGGGCCAACGGTTCCGAAGTATTTTGCTTAGACAACTGTTAATAAACACTTGTATCTTCTGGATGATGGCTTTCGTGGTTTTCCAGGTTTCCGCCCCATACAGTAGAACTGTCTTCACATTTGTATTGAAAATTCTGACTTTGGTGTTGGTTGCCAATTGTTTTGAGTTCCAGATATTCTTCAGTTGTAAATATGCTGCTCTTGCTTTGCCAATCCGTGCCTTCACATCTGCATCAGATCCACCGTGTTCATCGATGATACTGCCCAAATATGTAAAGGTTTTTACATCTTCCAAATCTTCTCCGTCAATTGTGATTGGATTGGTGCATGCTGTGTTGTATCGAAGAATCTTGCTTTTCCCTTTGTGTATATTGAGACCTATTGC